TGAATTTCTCTATCGTCTTCTACGAACAGTAGCCGATGCGGATATTGTCCGGGAACTCGTCGACGAGCCTGAAACTATCCAGCCCGAGTTCACAAATCTTTTCGAGCTGACTGACAGCGGTCGCATGCTGAAATCGGATCATTCATCGGCAACACGAGATCTCGTTCGATATGTATTTGGCTCCGGTTCTGGCTTCCAACTGTCATCGCCCTATTTGCCATCGTTAATTCGCCAAGGCTATGCAAACGGCACCGGTCTTCAGCAGGCAATAGGCTCGGCGAACATGTTTGAACACTTGATCAAGCCTGAGAACAGCGAGCTATTGGCGCTGTTCAATGGGCGGATGACGGCCGATTCAACACAGTCGGCACACATGATAGGATCAGCAGTAGACTTTGCGCGTTTCACTACGCTGACAGATATAGGCGGTAATCTGGGTACAGTGCTCGCCGTCATACTTCTGCAACATGACGGCATTCGGCGGGGAATCGTGTTTGATCTCAAAAATGTTATTGAACGCGCCACGAAAAAGGTGCCGAATGAATTTGAACGAATGGTGGTGGACAATAACCGCTATCAGTTCATGGCAGGTGACATGTTCGATTCGACGACAATTCCCAGTTCGGACGCATACTTGCTGAAGAATATTCTCCACGACTGGAGCGATTCTCAATGCATTGATATACTTAAGTCAATACGCGATGCAGCAAACAATAGCACATCATCATTACTCATTGTCGAAAATGTGATTCGACCTTCGACTGCTGATCAGCGTTTGGACAATTGGCGTGCGCACGCCCTCGACATCTGTATGATGTGTGCATTCGGCGGCAAAGAGCGAACACTACATCAGTATGAATATTTGTTGAAAAAGAGTGGCTTTGAACTCAAACAGTTGCATCTAACAGCGGGGCCCATGTCAATTATTGAAGCAACGAGGTTGAAGTCATGATGTTTGAAACTGTGAATAGAAGATGAATTTACGTTCTTTGAAACCAAACGTTACCAGAAGAAGATTTGCATAGATTTTGCTTTAGAGTCGGGTTTTCAGCATCCGCCACAAGCTAGTACTTTACAACATTCAATTTTGCTTTGCGCAATTTTCCTTTTTTCTGTGGATACAATGTTCAAAAATTACGCATGTGTTACTTCTTTTTTGTTTGTCTTTAGTCTCTTAGTCAGTGATATAAAAGATACAATTTGCTGACCTCCTTCGTCTTATCATTGTACTAGCTTTTTGTTTTCTTTCTATCTTTAATAAAGTTCATACGCATGTATTTGTTGTTTTCGTTTCATTGAAATTCCTTCTAAAAATGACTCTAAAAGTGTAGCGAAACGAGCCACGTAAAGAACCTCGATTTTTCAGACTGCAACTGTCTGTCAATCGCAGGAAAAAAGGCACATGAAAACAATAGGCGCATAGATAGTTTAGTCCACTATCTGTAAGGTTTCAGTCAAACCGCGGTTCTGCCAAAATCAGACAGAGTGAGAAGTAAGATATCTTAAATTCTGTTCGTAGTTTTAGGAAACGTAGATAGTGTTGAGTTGGTAACAGATCCGTCACACCGTGCTCATAT